ATGTTATTATTCCATCCTTTTATGAGAAAAAAGCAGATATTCTCTTAAACTTTTAAATTAACGTGGATAATAATAAATAAATGATAATTTTACTAATATGATAATGATTCGGTTTTAATCTTACCGAAAAACAAATAATGATTCTGTTTTAAAAATATATAAATTTTCTTTGTTTAGTTGTAGATATTGTCATATAAAAAATTCTTAGATCCTCCACTGCCTTAATTTTATGTAAATACCTTGCTTGATATTTAATTTTGATTTGATATCATAACTAATCCTTGCTTTTTTTTTCGACACTAACCATTGAATTTTTTATACTGCCATTTAATTCTTGCATAAAAAATAATAATTAATAGTAGTGTTTATTATGAATGCAGGTTTGTTTTCCATAAAAACTAGATTGGATTTATGGAAGCACGTCATTGTTTCCAGTGCGAGGAAACAAATGTCGTATCACTGCTGTTGTGGCTCTTTAGTACTTTCGTTTCTGTTTATGGCTTTGCTTCGTTTGTATGGTTAGTCATCAATCATTGATCTTCTCATTGTTTGAATATTGTTGCATAGGAAAAATCTTCCCTTTTTATGAATCTTTCAAAAGTTGGGTCCATGCTATTCTCAGAGATTGATTACGTTTATTGAATATTTGTGTGCTTCCTCTGCTGATATTCTAATTCATGCTTTATTCGTCGTCTTTAATACACTCTGATTAACCATTGTGGACCTCTAGAGTCTAATTTGCAATATTAATGCAAGTCTCTTTAACTTACGGATTATGAAGAGCATCCTAAGATCGTTTAATTTGATTCAGGCTTTATGTGGCTAATGTTTGGTCTTGGATGTGAATTAGTCTATCATGTTTCTTGGAAGGTAGGAAGCAATCTTGATGTTTACCAAAATCCAATGTGCTCTTTTGTAGCTCAGTTTTGAAATATGTACTAATTATTGTAGAGGGAACCCGAAACAAAGAGACCATATGTATGATTTTATATGCGAAGAGAAGCTCCGAATTTGAAATCGTCTCCACTCCGGTGATATGTGGCCATGGTGTGAAGGAGTCTGGAGCCATGGTTATTTCAGATTCGGACATAACCGTAATTGTTAAACTAATAAAAATAAGATCAAACGTACCGGATTGATGAGAATTTTTGGTGTTCTTCGTCATGTTCTTCGTCGTATGGATCTAACAAAACAAAAAAAAATATATACCCCAGAATTTTTTTTTGTTTGTTAATAGAGAGAACCCACCAATTTTGTAGCGTTGATTGTGACATCGAATTGTTTGTCGGATGAATATAAGTCTCTAATCCGGAGACTGAAGTTGAACCCTAACAAAAACATATATTCATAGCATAAAATTCATAAATAAAAGGTAGAGCATCACATAGCTTTTTCTTCAAAGCCAACACATCTCTCTTTGTAGCCGAATTACTCTCCAGTTTGGTATATACTCAAATTTTCCAATGACTTCCTTCTCGAACCTGAAGCGTTTTTGCTTTGCCGGATATTTTTAGGATATGGCTCTTATGTATCTCTTGTGAGTCACTTGATATGTTGTTTAGGTAAAACTTTTGGTTTGAAAGAGAATGATCTACGACAAGCATAATCGGTTATTTGTTATATATGTGGCCATGTTCATATTGCTTTCTCCACAAGCAATTTTCCAGTTTTGTAGCATTCGATATTTAAATTTAAAAGCTTCAATACGTTGTATACATGTGTATGTATGTACATATATGAATTATTCTCAGTTGCACATAGTGGTTTCTAAGGGATAGATACTTGCTCTCTGTAATCCTCTCATTTTTAGTACCTATCTTCAGTGTTTACTTTGCTAAGAGCTTCTTGATAGGCATACATCTTTGCAATCTCCGATCAATATACTACAAATACATATACGATACAGTTAAGAAAATGATATTTCTCTTACAACTTTTTATATGGGTTTTATAAACAAGAGATCAACTGAAGGGTTACGCAGCGACCAATGGCGAAGGTAGAGACAAAGATACTACAATAGGGACGATAAATATGACACGATATATACAAAGGAGATGCCTGTTTCTATACCATTGAAATTTTACGTACATAACTACTTCAAAGAGCAAGATGACTTACTTGATAGGTAAGAGATATGGTAAGAGATTATATTTTTCAATTATTTGTTTCCAACTACGAAAAACTCCAGTGACATACAATCTAAAAGCATGAATATGTCATAAAATCAAGAATACAACAAAAACCAGGAAGATGGGCCCAAATTAAAGTCCGAAACTGGACGTGGGGAACCCACAGACAGTGGCGGTCGGAGCGTTACAAATATGAAAGAAACGAGGAAGCGTGAATATGTCATAAAACCAAGAGTACTACAAAACCAAGAAGATGTGCTCAAAGAACGAAACTGGACGTGGGAACCCACAGACAGTGGCGGTCGTGGCATTACAAATATGAAAGAAACGAGTAAGCATGAATATGTCATAAAATCAAGAGTACGACAAAACAAAGAAGATGGGCCTAAAGACCGAAACTGGACGTGGGGAGCCCACGGACAGTGGCGGTCGGGCCGTTGCTAATATGAAAGAAACGAGTAAGCATGAATATGTCATGAAATCAAGAGTACGACAAAACAAAGAAGATGGGCCTAAAGACCGAGACTGGACGTGGGAACCCATGGACAGTGGCGGTCGGGGCGTTGCTAATATATTGTTGGTTTAAATATATAGATTTTTTATATTTAATTCTATTATATATATCAAGATATAAACACTAATAATTGTTTGTGATTCAAAAACACTATTAATTGTTGATTACTAATAATATATATCAAAAGTTATAGCGTTTTACCATAATTCTATATTAATGTCGTTATAAAAATTAGACTCTTGACAAAATTAATTCAATAAATATCCCTAACTTGATAACCCTAAATATTAATTATTAATTCTGGTCTTAATCAACATACAACCCCGCGCTAGGCGCGGGGACCTCCCCTAGTGTTCTTTAAATTAAGACTATTTTTTCTTTTTTTATTTGGTTTTATGGTTCTTTGGATTTGTGGTTTTAAGATTTTAGGATGCTTTTCTATTTTAATATCTAGATTTTTTTAATTTATTATTTAAAAACTTTTGTTGGTTTACAATTTTATGTTATTTTTTTGGATTTTTATTATTTATATATTTTATTATACATATATATGGGTACCCATATAACCCATTAAGCCAATGAGTTTTTACAATAATGGGTTTGGGTATGTAAATTCAACCCATATAAATATATGGGTCGGGTCAAACCCGTCCATTAAACACTCGAACCCATATGGGTTTGGGTCGGGTCGGGTCGGGTTACCCATTTTGACACCCCTAATCAGATCATTTGTAATTTGTGATTTTATAGTACAAAAATAACATGTTGAATATGTCCATAATGAATCTAAGCGCGTTTAAAGCTAAATCCGGTCTGCACAATACTAATTGTATCTTTTGTTTAGTGTCGGTGACCATCCTAACATGTTTATTACGCTTGTGGACATCTAAAGGAATTTTCAAGCTCTTTCCATTGGTGCCCAGCAAACCCTTGTCCAAGTCAAACTTCATTTTTTACAAGATATTCATAGCAATGTCCTTAAAATAAATCATAATCGACATTTTTGATCATCACACGGTTCGAAGCAAAGCAGTTAAAAAAAAAAATCAACGTTGCAAAATTAAATTTTACGCTGTATAAAATTAATATATATATTTTTTTAGCATTGTAGAAACTTTAAAATTAATTTTGTTCATATTTTTTTGTAGGCTAATATTTGAATGCATAAGTTTATAATTTGTGTATATAATTTGGTGCATAGTAACGGATAAACTATATGGTTTCTTTTGTGATATATTCGGCAATGGAATTATAGAATTGGTAATGGTAAAAAAATGTAAGTTTGAGTTAAATGAGAAATTGAAGATATTAATTCGAAAACGCCTAATATTTTTTCAACACTGTCATCTCATTATATTAAGATAATTAAAAACACAAAGACAACAACATAGCCCAATAGTACAACAAAGCAAAAGTCCAACATGAGCCGAATAGAAAAGAAGGAGAGTAAGTCGTCAATTCGATGCACACTCGGCAACAAAAAACAAAGGTCGAGACACGTGTGACGGAGGGGAAGCGGTTGATCGCCGGCATCATTCTCCGATGTTGCAATCTTGCAGAGCTCCAAACCAGTAGGCCGGAAAGTCGTCGTCTATTGAATCCACAATGCTTTACACAATTACACCCAACATTAGAAATGATTATTTTTAAATAACGAACAGTATCTTTATTTAATTTACTTTTATCAATATTTAAAATATGACATTCTTATTATACCGATCGTAATAAGTATTTTAGTATTAACTAGTATTAATGGATGTGTTGTTAATTGTTTAAGAAAATCATCTAGACCATGCTAAAATAATAAACTGATTTATATTGGGCCTAACATATAGCTAAAGGTATCAAGCGGGCCGCAGCCCGTGAGCTTGGCCCATTAAATACCACAGCACAACACTTGGACATTATTTTACATGTCCAGAAAATAGTGGGCTTCGCGGACCGGCCCAAACGGATAGCGAATTTTGCCTGCGGTTTAGCGGGTCGGCCCGCGTGATATAAATATTAAAATAACATAAATAAATGATATTTTTACTTAATTATAATATGTGAAATATGTGATAATGTAAAGAAATTTAATTCTAAAATTCTAATATCTACAAAAAATAATATTAAAAGTTATTTTAAATTTTTAAATATTTAAATTAATATTTTAAATGAATTTTTATTTTATTTTAAATATAAAAATTAAACCCGCAGAGCAGGCCATGACATAGTTTTTTTTAAGACCGGGCCGACCCGTCCCGGTCCATCAAAAAGTAACGCGCCCATCGCGGGCCGGCCCGTTTGACAATCTCGTGAGTTTTTTTTTTTTTTTTTTGATGTTTTGAACTTTCGATTCGGTGCAAAATAATCGGTTGCTCGAATTTTACTTAATTACTAAAACCACAAGTTTAGATCGTTTGTTACTCAAGTGCATTCGTCAAAAGACTCAGCAGCTAACACTGTTAGTACATAATTTTTTTCTTCATTATCTTACCGCAGACTAGGAGGAACTATATAAGCACATGACTAATTCGTTGGCCCTGGTGCAGACGAAGATTCTGTCCGTTTCTCCTTATGAACAGACCGTGGAACAAAGGTCAGCACACGACCATGGCGTCGACCGAAGCTGACATTCGAAGGAGTTGTGTCTGAGGTAGTTAGCGTGGACAGTGCTGAAACAAGACCGTCTACGCTGGCTTTGTCTTCCACTTCCATGGCATCTGACGAAGCAGCTTCTTTGTCTTCTTCATGTTTCAGCCTTGATACATGTTGTCTTTGAAGTTTCTCTCTTCGTTTCTTTGAGAGTTGGGTCTTCTTGAAGAACTCAAATGTCGATGGGAACTTGTGTTTGTCAATTAAGTGTCGATGCCGGGCTTTGTAGCTCTTGAACTTCAATCCACACCCTTCCACGAGGCACTCGTACTGCATAAGAGCAGAAAGAAGGAAGAATCAGCATGATCGCAGGTGAACTTTAAAGAAATCCATGTAAAACAATGACAGGAGCGGTATCACAGTCAGTAGCTAACACTGTTAGCCTAACAGTTAGAGCTCTGCATCAAAACGCACTTAATAGTTGCACAAAGAGATAAAGAGTAAATAGTGCATACCATGTCATAACCCCGAGCAACTTTAGCTTGAAAGAAAGAGTCATGTGCTTCGGATATATGAATACTTAGTAAGCGAGAAGTAGGGTAGACCCTTGAGCATACTGAACAAGACGCAGTGTGCCGTGCGTTATAGTGATCTTCAAAATGGTCCAAAGATTTCAGGCGCTCAGGGCAGCCAACAATGGGACACGAGATTCTTCTGCTCAAAATAATCAAGCTCATGACCATCAAATTTCATGGAGAATTGTGAACCAAAGTTGGAATTGAAACTAGTCTACATAAATTTGATCAGTGACACAATGCCATATTACTGGTTGCCACTTAAAATGTGGATAATGAAAGAAAACTACGTACATAACAGTGATTCAATTCATGGCCATTTGGTTACTATTTGCTAGATATCTTACACGCACTACCAACACATATGTGAACTGCACAGTAAACAATCAGAGATAGGATAAATGACACCAAACCAGATTCACCAAGGAAAAAAAAAGGTTCATTATTAGCTTCAGTCTACCAATCACGAGAATAACACATGAAAAACCAACGAAACAAACACTAAACTCTCGTAATAAATAATCTAATCTGCAAATTATATCCATTGGGATAGTTGATTAGATTTTTTACATTGCTAACGGAAAACAATCACAGCCAATGAGCTCATAAGTGACTAAGTATAAATATACCTGCTTTCAGTTTCCACGAATTTCTGCAGATGGTTGATTTCATCTTGGGTTAAGTCCAATGCCACCTGTATATTAAAATCCTCCGTTAGACCTCAACTCTAGCTTGCATAAATATTTGTAGATGATAAACAATCTACAACATATAATAAATTAATACTTACAAAATGATTAGTCAAAACACCATATAACTTCATGGAGAATGAGACTGAAACAATCGTTTTATCCCAAACCTAATTACAAGACTTCTTCCAATTGAAATAATCCGCTAACCAAACAGATCGAAAGTAACAATTCGACCTTAAAAATCTCAGAACCGCTTCGATTTGAGCTAAGCTAATACGACATCATCATCCTAAAGCATTCAAGCGGGCCATTAACGAGTGTCTAGACAAGAAACCGAAAAGACTCTTTGATTGTAAAATTGATCATGCATAGTATTTATTCCCTAAGAACAGCATTACATCAGATTCGACCGATTCAGATTCCAGAAGGGAGTACCTGTTTAGCAAGTAGCTCTCGCTCGACATTTCCAGATGCAAAGAAAGGCGAATCGGGAGAAAATCTTCGTCGGATTGGATTCCAATACGGAAAGCCTAACTCGCCTACCGTGTCTACCGCCATACCCATAGCCATCGCCTCCGGAGCTGAGCAAAGCAGAAGAAATTCAAAATTTTCGTTTTAGTCTCACAAACATGATTTGAGCATCCAACTGAACATTTCCTCCGCTCCGGTTTGTTAGCCGGATCCTTCCCGGACTATATCGTATCCACTTTATTATTCGGCCCATATCAGGCCCACGGCTACGAAACAGAAGTTAATTTCTTTTTTAAAAAATAGTCTTTGATCAAAACAAAAAACGGATTTTTATTTTCTTTAATCAGATATCAAGAATGTTTTCATGTTGAAGTATGTATATCATTTCTTATTACTATATACTATATAGCTTTTTTTTTTCTTTTCAACATGTATTATTTATCATATAATATGGATCCAAACATTTTCTAAATCAATCCAGATTGAATTGTCCAATGCAACAATCTTCTGGTAGTGATAATTTTTTTTTTGTATCAACTTTCTGGTGGTGTATAGTTAAATTAAAACCTTTCTATATATCAAAGTGATTTCTAATGTGTTTGTCAGTTTGTAGTTTATACACGTGCTAATTGTATTATATATCGGTTACCTGCAATGAGCTTATAAATATTTTTCTAATTTGTGGTTGAAATTGAAATGATCTAGAAATCTTCTCACTAACATTATTTGATTCTTTTGTAGAAAATAACACTTTAACCATCAGCAATTTGAATATTTGCTTAAGTTTCTATTATCATCAAAAGGAGAACTAGTCCTGTGATATGATAAAGTTATACTATTATACCAAAAGATATCTGTGTCAACAAATAACCAAAATTGAGTAATATTAAATGTTAAATTTGAATATCGGCTACAATAGAAGAACCGTTGAGCTAAAGTTGATATGATGAACTAAATTAGAACAGGTATTCCGCTGAATTCATGGCGATCAGTCAATTTCATTATCATATTAGGATGGACAAAGACTAATTTTCAAACTCATCTTTTGAATTTAATTTATCTATTTTGTGTTTAACGACAATCTATTATTAGCTATTTTATACGTTTCATCAACACAAAAATATTTTAAAATCTCTGAAATTTTTCCATGCAGATGACTGACTTAATGAGGTTTGTTAAAATGTCATTATCAATTAAACCCCCTAACTCAAGAAATGTGTAGCCCCTTAAGTAAAATATGAGAAATCCTAGTTGTAAAATTCTGGCATTCACCTGTGAATGTGATTAGATTTTAATCGTCATCAAATAACTTTTTTCTTTAACAAAAAAAATAAAATCACATTTATACTATTGACTAGATCCAGCGGCTATAGATAAATGCGGTGGCATATCGGAGGGTAAAAAAAGATTGGTGTGGTCCTATATATTCAAGAGTGGACTGTGTATCAAGAGAAGAGTCTAAAGAACACAAAGAAATTAAAGGAGAAAATATACCAAGATGGATACTCGTAGGGATGATGCAACAAAACCCATGACGATGTGGTTTTCGGGGATGCTGTTGTTTTCCATGGTGGCCGAGTCAAATGCCCAACTGTCAGAGAATTACTACGCCTCGACTTGTCCTAACGTCGAGCTCATCGTTAAGCAGGCGGTTACTACAAAATTCCAACAAACTCCTACGACGGCTCCGGCAACGTTACGGATGTTCTTTCACGACTGCTTCGTCGAGGTATGTGCAAACAACGGAGGTTTGTGTAGATTTTTTTTACGTTTATGGAGTCCTTTTGGTATTTGTGAATAATCTTGGTTGGTTTTTTTTTATAGGGATGTGATGCGTCTGTGTTTATAGCATCTGACAATGAAGACGCAGAGAAAGACGCGCCGGACAATAAATCTCTCCCCGGAGACGGATTTGACACTGTGATTAAAGCTAAAACCGCTGTAGAATCTCAATGTCCCGGCGTTGTGTCATGTGCCGATATTCTAGCTCTCGCCGCCAGAGACGTTGTCGTCATCGTAAGTCCACGCATCGCGTTACTGACGTTTCATTTGATTTCCCCAAGTAAAAACCATTTACTCTGTGATGATAACAGGTTGGAGGGCCAGAGTTTAAGGTGGAGCTAGGTAGACGAGACGGGCTCGTGTCGCAAGCATCTAGAGTGACCGGGAAGTTACCTGAACCAGGGCTTGACGTGAGAGGTCTAGTCCAGATCTTTGCTAGTAACGGGCTTTCATTGACCGACATGATTGCTCTCTCAGGCGCACATACCATTGGATCCTCTCACTGCAACCGTTTCGCCAACCGTCTCCACAACTTCTCGACGTTCCTGCCCTTGGACCCTACGATCGACCCGGCCTACGCACAGCAGCTGACAAAAGACTGCTCTAACCCCGATCCTGACTTCGTCGTGCCCCTGGACCCAACCACCACAGATACCTTCGACAATAGCTATTTCCAGAACCTAGTGGCTCGAAGAGGCCTTCTCACCTCCGATCAAGCTCTGTTTAACGATCTCTCGTCTCAGTCCACGGTGATGAGGTTTGCTAACAACGCCGAAGAATTCTACGGTGCTTTTAGCTCTGCTATGAGGAATCTTGGTCGCGTTGGTGTTAAGGTTGGGAGCGAAGGAGAGATTCGAAGGGACTGCTCTGCTTTTAACTAGCTTTATTGAAGAGATTCTTAAAACATAAAACATATAAATTCTGAAGCTTTTGATATATTTCATAATCCACAATGGAACTTCTCGAATTGTAGTGTTTAAGCTATTTTTAATACTCAGATTCCAAAACATTATTTCAAAAATCAAGCTGACTTAAATTTGTTTTATATATGGAGTATCTAAGGATCTTTGTGTAAGATTTTTCCGCGGATATGAATCCAAAAAACGTACAAATCAAATACAAAATTGACAATAACAACAACAAAATCGATACTGAAACAAACAAAAAAATCGATACAGAGACGAAAACATCTGGATCGTAGAATTGAAGACAAAAACCAAAGAATAAGAAGCTGAGCACGATCATATATAAAAGGGAACAGAGATCTTAGGTGCGGGTCTTGCCATAGAGATGAGTGTAAACGGACTTGGTACGACGCACAAGAATCATACTCAAGATGCAAGCGATGATGCAGAATCCAGACATTACGAGTGACGTCAAGAAGAAACAGATAGAACCATTGCATCTAAGGGCGTCATCTGGATCAAACACGGACCCATGAGCTTGCCGTTCTGCTTCTCGGTCATAGATACTACTCGCAATCATACCCGAGAACACGAGGGATCCAGCCGGGTTTGCCAGTGTCAGGAAATTGTATAAAGCTCCAAACTTCTTCAGACCAAAGAGCTCAGAGGCGGTAGCTGGGACAATAGCCCAGTGGGCACCGTATCCGAGTCCAATCAACAGCGTGCCAATGTACATTGCTCCGGGCCATCCGTACGCAAAGAAGATGTGTCCCACAGACATTATAAGCTGAGCCACAGCCATTGCTACCGGTCTTGGATACGCGTAGTCCCTGCACATCATTCAAATCAAGATCAGAACATAGCACAAAAAGCAGAGAAGAACTTCACAGATCATACGACTATATTTGTTTCGCTTTCCGCGATTTCAAACCTGACAACGAGCTCCGAGAAATAACCACCGCCAATGCGTCCAAGAAAGTTCCAAATGCTAATCATAGACACAAGCACGTGAGTGTTATCATAACCAAGAGACTGACTCATCTGACCAAGATTGTCAATAACTGTCAAACCCGAACCAGAACCGAGCAGCAGGGAGAAGAATATGAGCCAGAAGTCGGCTTTCACCAGTGCCTGCGTTAGAGTGAAATCTTCCCCTCTGTGCGGCCCTCTCCGTCTCTTCACCCGAACCGCCCCTTCTGCAGCTGCCTGCATTAGCTGTGCTTGCAAATGCGCAATTCTCTTATGTCTCTCTGAGGCAGGAAGCAAATCAACATCTTTTGGCTTCTCATCTTCCACTTCACTCAAGATTAGGTCAGGGGTCTGCATTCCTGGTTCTTGGTCTTCCCGTTTTGGGACAAGAGGCTCTTCTATTGTGTCATCAGGCTCGTTTGTCTCCGTGAAGAAACTTGTCATAATTGGAACCAAGATTGGAACAACAAGAATGACAAACAACACAATGGTGAACATGGTGATGACGTTGTGGCTAACGACGACCAAATCTTGAATAAGCATAACGGCCATGAGATAGGCAGCGAGTAGAAGGCAGACACCGTAGATGAAAGTAAAGCTGGCTCCATCAGATGGACGGATCTGCTTGTGACCTCCAACGGGTCTGATGAAGAACATGAGGCAAACAACGACAACTGCAGGCGTAACAGCGACCATGAGAATGAGAGAAGCCGGGTTAGATGAGTGGATCATTGTATATATCTGAGAGATGATGGCGCCACCTAGCCCAGCAAACCCCTTGAGAATACCCACCACTGGACCTCGGCTCTTGGGAAAGTTTTGAACACCAGAGACTAATGCTCCAGTATTGAAGTAGGTTTCTCCATTGTTCCCAACGAATATGAGAACACACATCTGAAAACAAAAGAGGCTGTGTCAGCATACAATATACTAATTCTTAACACTTTTCCCAGTAAACAAGCCAATCTACTACATTATCATAAGAAATGCCAACAATATCCTGAGAAACAGAACGATTTCAACAAAAGCAGAACAAGAGATTAAGAGGAAAAAAAGTGGAATTTGTCATAGAATTGACAACGACGTATTAGTAAACAAACAACCTTAAAAGTAAACTTTCTCAGAGATTCTTTGAAAGCAGATTGAAATAGAAAGTCTCCAAATTTTTCTCAGTACCCAAAAACATTGGCCTAATAAAACATAAAAGAGACGAATCTGAAGGACCACGTGCAGATTTTTCCAACCGAGAAATCAAAAAGACAGATGACTTAAATACTCACAGCCCATAGAGGCAGAATCGGGGCACGGCCGGTGGTTATAAGCCAAACCCATCCGTAACCGATGAGGTTCTGAACGGCGCCAACAAGAAGAGCAGCCCAGAGAGGCAAGATCTCAGAGAGAGTCCCGGCGATGAATCCGACACTATCACCGAGATCCTTGGCGACTCCAAGTCTGGCAAGCTCCTTCTGATTATAGTTTAAGGAGCTTTTGATAACCGGAGAAATGCTTCCGAACAAATAACCGATGCCAGCACAAGACTGTATCCACATGGCAGCCACGAAGACGAGCCATCTGTTGTTTATGAAAGATACAAACTTTTCTCGTGTAGTCGACGCCATTGAGAATAATGCTTTCTGGGTTTCCTTTATTTCTTCTCTCCGCCACCGGGAGTATCTGGGAGGAATCGGATCAAAACACGATCGGCGAAATTTGTGGTCTTGAAAAAGAAATAAAGTTTTTTTATTTTACCCTTTTTGAATATCCGTGTGACTGTCTGTCTTTGACACGAGTTTATCCTTTTTATGGTCTTAACTTGGACAAAAAAGGACAAGACATAGCAAAGATTAAACCAATCTGTGAAATAGTTACTATTATAGAAATGTGATTACTGATTACTGTTTAGTTTGTTAATTTACAGTAAATTTAATATGATCAAAATTTAGTTATAACTTATTTTTTTGACAAAAAAAAAAATAAGTGGATTTTAGTAAGGAAGAAAGAAAAAGAAAAAAAAGGAAGAAAGAAAAACGTGGATTTTAGTAAGGTAGACGTGTACAAATTGTAGAACAAAAGGCTCGATGATAATTATGAGTAGTCAACATAGGATCGTTGTGAGATTCGGTCACTGTTCTTCAAAGCCCTGTGCGTGCCTGCCATCTTTTTAAATGGCGTGCCTGTCATCTTGCATTGGTCTACTTTCAGTCTTTTAATTAATTAAGGTTGATTATCCCATATGAGCTACTCAACATTATCGTTAACTAGATTTAATAATTCTGTCTTTGCTGGACCAATATCAATACTAACAGATTATATACTATTTTCGTATTGTTTTCTAAGGAAAAATATAAACAACAATGGAATTTATATTTATCATATTATACATTGGTATAGTCAGGCCCGGCTCACTTGTCGGCAAGATCCGATGCCATACAAAAAAAAATCCTATCTTTAATAAAAAATTTGGATAAAGAACAAAAAAGTTATATATATTTTTTTATTTTTTTTTACAAAAAGTTATATTTCATAAACTATTTTGTATTTTATAGCTATTTGGACATGTTATTTTTGTTTATTAATTTTGGGCTTCAATATTACCTTTTAAAATAGAATTTTAGGACCTTTAGATATAGATATTTTATAAAATTTCAGCATAATTAAATAGTTAAATAATAGAAAAACTATAAATTTGGACCTTAAATTTGTTGGATCCGGTGCAAATGCACCACTTGCACATGCCAATAACCGGCTCTGGGTATAGTACGTGGAATATTTTTTTTGTTAAAGAAGTACGTGGAATATTAGTATGCTTTTATTTTATATAAGCCGGCTAAAACACAAACTAATCTTGGTAGTACGTGGAATAGTCTGCTTTTCTTACCAACTAATATACATGCACGTTGAATTGGTTAAAGAGTTATTATACACGAAAGCTAACATTGGTGAATATCCTCGAAAGTAATACTTCTTGTCATTGTTGGTACCAACTAGTTGAATGGAATCTTATCACAGTTGTGGAGGAAATTGGATGACGTAAGAAATTAAACGAGATAAAAATATCATATAATCTTATCACAATTATTTATCCATTTTGTTTATAAGATTTTTTAGGCTAAAGACATATATTAAGAATTACAAAATATTTTTTAGTATTTTAAACAATTAACCAATAATACTGCATAATATAAATGATCACAAAATATTAAATGCGTTTAAAATTTATATAGAAAGTTACAAAATATTTAATAAAACAAAACAAAAAATAATTATAATTTATATTTTATAAAATGGGACGGAAGGAATATGTCTAATAATCACTTCCACTACTATTTTATAATATACTAGATTTTAATCCGCGGTACACCGCGGGATGATATAATTTTAAAGTTAGTATAAAAATATTTTGTAAATTATATCTCCTTAAAACATATTTATTTATATTACAGTTTACAATTGTTATTAAGTAACGGTATATCACGAGTCCACGAGACAATTATTAATAAACTGAAGATTTAACTGGTACTAAAGCGGTATATAAATATTGATTCAAATTCGTCTGCCATATAAATTCTTTCTGAAATATAACTCGTTCCGTAATTTCTTAATCCGTCCCGTGATTTGTCTTTTTAAAAATTTAATGATTATTTATAATATATAAAAGTTTACAAATCATATCATCCTCTAAGACCACGGGACATTATACTACGGGACAATTTTTGGTTTTATACATTCTTTTTTAAATGAGACTGATTTAATATGTCTAATATTTGTGGTATTAAAAAAAAAGATTTAGTCCGTATTGAAGCGGAAAATTAATAATATTTTAATCTTTTTACTATTGTTGATTCAAAAACCCATTCCGCCAAACCCATCCGGCCAAAAAACTCATTTATTTTATTAATGTTCTTATTTATGATATGATTCTGAATCATTGTCTAAATATTTTAATCGATGTAGAACGTTGAACACACATTTTGGTCAATTGGATAATATATGTCCGTTTTTAAAATTTCGAATCACAATATATGCAGGAAAAAAATTGATTTTTTTTTTACTTTATATATTATATAATGATTCAAAACAGTTAAAGACAAATCAAACAAAGATAATAGGAAAATCATAATTATAAATCTTAATCAAATCTTCTAAATATATAAATTATTAAATATAAAATATCCGGTGTATGAGTTGGGTTAAATATAACCCGACCTAATAAAATTTTTTGTGAAATTTTTTTTGAAACGGATTGGATATCCAAATAACTCGGAAGCATTTTTACCTATCCATCACAAAGTGACTGCAAAAATACTAGATAACTAGATTTTAACCCGCGGTACACCGCGGGATGATTTATTTTTAAAGTTAGTATAAAAATATTTTATAAATTGTATCTCCTTATAAATATTTATTTATATTAGAGTTTACAATTGTTATTAAGTAACGGTATACCACGAGTCCACGAGACAATTGTTAAAAAACTGAGGATTTAACCCGTATTAAAGCGGCATGTTAATGATATTTATAAATATTGATTCAAATTCGTCCGCCATATAAACCCGTTCCAAAATATAACCCGTTCCATAATTTCTTAATCCGTCCCGTGATTTGTTTTTATTTTAAAATTTAATGATTATTTATTATATATAAAAGTTTACAAATCATAACATTCTCTAAGATATTTATATTTTAATAAACTGAAGATTTAATCTGTATTAAAGCGTCATGTTAATGATATTTTAAAATTTTATAAATATTGATTCAAACTCGTTCACCATATAACTTTGTTCCGAAATATAACCCGTCCTGTAAAAAAAATTAAGGATTTAATCCGTATTGAAGCGGCGGATTAATGATATTTTAATCTTTTTATTATTGTTGATTCAAAAACTCGTCCCGCCAAACCTGTCTGGCCAAAAAACTCATTTATTTTATTAATGTTGATCTTATTGACGATATGATTCTGAATCATTGTCTAAATATTTTAATCGATGTAGAACGTTGAACGCACATTTTCGTCAATTGGATAATATATGTCCGTTTTTTAAATTTCGAATCACAGTATCTGTTAGAAAAAAAATTGATGTTTTTTTTTTACTTTATGTATATGATGATTCAAAACAGTTACAAACAAATCAAACAAAGATGATAGGAGAATCATAATTCTAAATCTTAATCAAATCTTTTAAATATATAAATTATTTAATATAGAATATCCGGTGTATGAGTTGAGTTAAATATAACCCGACCCAACAAACTTTTTATGGGCAAAATTTGTAAACTGGTCGGGTATCTAGATAATCCGGAAGCATTTTTATCCACCCGTCACCAAAATGACTGCAAAAAATACTAGTATAGATTAGCTGTATTTATTTGCTATATTTAATAAAAGGACACATCTTTTCACTAAAAGAATCAAAAGAGTACAAAAATCATTATCACTTTAAAGATCATGAAGTCGATCTAGAAAATCTTCCGTTCTAAGTTTATTTTAAATCTAAAGATCCGTTCTAACTTCTAAGTTTATTTTCTGTAACCAAAAACGTTTTTATTGCGTTGTTCTAGAAAACGTCAAGGTTATAGATGAGTAAATTTACTTTATAATCGACGAGAGCTGTTACTACTGTGGTGGGGGTGGTTCCACCGTGACCTGTCGTTAAGGTTCAATCCAACGATCCACCTCTTTTTGTGGGGTTATGAATGTTGGAAAATATAATTAAAAACTTACTTTGTAAAAAAAAATAGTGTGTATATATAACTTAAAAATAATACACAACTTGCAAACGTGTATTTTTTGCCAGTATGAACGCAACTTGCTTGCATGCATGTGTTCTTTGCAACATAGCATAAGACACTGTTTTACTTTTTGGCATTAAATCAATTGATGAATTATGAATATGATTGGTTTGCTTGGTTATACGTTTTCTTATCATCAAGGATAGCATTTGGAAATCAAACAAGAATTGGATGAGAGTCGTTTTCCCGTATCTTTATACATGAGAAAAATATATGTAAAGATATAATTAGTAGACCAACATGCCATTAAAGAAAATGTTCGTATCAACAAATAATAGAAAACATGCATTAAACTTATATATATATATATATATATATATATATATATATATATAATAAAATAAAGATGTGAGCGGCTTGACTCGGATATGGATAAGTTTTAGATTTATATGGACAGCAATTGATTTTATCATCTTTGTTTTTGGCACATAATGTCGTTTCCTAATCATTCGATCAACTTATCCATTTGATATTGTATTCAAATAAGTCGGGAGTAACCGCTATTTTTATAGAAAATAACTTACTAGACATATATACAAATTCTTATTATGGATTTATAGAATAAAGAGACAGACTCTCAAAGGCCAAATGTCTCTCCTAACAAAAACTAAATAAAAGGCAAATGTCTCTTATAGCAAAAAAACAAGAGGGAGAACAAATGTTTGTGAGACAAGAATCAGATTCTTAGCATACCCAACAATCAATACATAGTGTGACAATATTCTAATATATAGGTTTGATACATTCGAGTAGCTGCAGGGAATCGTTCTTTCCTTCACATTGTATACTTCGTAATTTCGTCCGGTTCAAGCCACTGTTTCATTATGATCCTCCATACTAATTCAAGCATTCTATAAAAGTACATACATGGCGGATGCATATAAACGTACACACTACCTAGCTCCTATAATAAACTCGTTGATTTTACATATATTGGAATGGGGTTGAATTGGGGACCAGTCTTAATGTCGGTGGTTCTGTTCATCGTATTGACGCCCGGAGTATTGTTTCAGTTTCCGGGGAAGACCAAAGTGGTTGAGTTTGGCGGTTTTCAGACAGGCGGCGCAGCCATTGTCATCCACACCCTTATCTTCTTTGCGTGCATTACAGTCTCCCTTATCGCTCTTCATATCCACATCTACGTTGCCTAATTAATTTAACATTTAATTATTTTGTTTCGTCCCTCTTGCGAGCTGCTTGTATGATGTATCCCTTAACTTCTTGTCTTTTTGTTATTGTTTTTGATAAGCTTTGATTTATGATTACCATTTAAGTACTTGTTCGTACAATGAATCCTTTTTCTTTATTGTTTTGCTGCTTCTAGTTATATCATTTCTTATATATGAACATCATTGATAAAGAAGCATGCAAGCGCAGATGAGATCAACTATTCCTTTTTCTAGATTGTAATGTAAGAATATTAATACGGATATAGACACATATATAGTATATACTATAGTAGACAATCATTGAAGACTATACAATTAGATAAGGTATAATAATATATATTAAGAGATATTGTATTGACTTTAATATCGATGATAGAGTTGCAAATGAAAACAACATATGAAGATATCAATATTGATAGAGTTGCTAATGAAAACAACATGTGAAGTGAAGATACGTTGATATATATCAAGGATTAAGTTATTCTCTCTTTACTCAAACTTGCACTCAATCAGAACGAGCTATCGTCACGTCAAATGTACAACAAAATTCACCAGTTTTTGTTGTTTTTTGGTCAAAGATTTCATCAGGTTTAAACCTAGCTTATAAGTAAAAACAAATACCCGTCTATTTCACTGTATTAGAATGTCCCACATTGCTTGGGATTAAGATCTTTGGGTAGTATATAAAGGATGTGACAATCCTTAACTTTTGAGCTAGTTTTTGGGTTAAGTTAAACCACATTCCTAATATGGTATCAGAGCCCAAGGTTGACCCAACAAGCAAATTTCCCACAAAAATGGTTTTCTACCTATGTGGCCCATATAAGTGGCATGTCTGGTTGTATTTCTGAGATGTTGGGTTTGAGCTGTTTCCTGTTGGACCGTTTCCTACCAACATCTCGAAGAGACCTATTAGAATGTCCTACATTGCTTGGGATTAAAATATTTAGGTAGTATATAAAAGATGTGGCAATCCTTAACTCTTAAGCTAGATTTTGGGTTAAGTTATGCCACATTCCTAATACACTGATGTTGATGATTAGTCTAAAATTCGACTTTGCTTGGTCAAAGATACGTAAGTTTACTACACTGTACATTAAAATTTGTAATAGAAAAAGATAAAAAAATAAAAAATCGTGTCAACATGAAAAACTCTGCGTGGCCATGTCATATGTTACATTGCACACCTTGGGGTCGAATTGTGGAGCTAAGTGGGCTTTAAAGAATCTTAAAAAGCCCATATAATATGGATAACGACGGCCCATAAAGAAGGGGCCATGAGTCACAGTGAATCACGCACGATGAACGAATCATAGCCTTGGCTGCTTCTCCAAGTAAAAAACACATAAGCCCTCTTTAAATCCCTAGCTAAGCTTCCACCGAGAAGTAGTTCAATCTGATTTTGCGGATCGTTAATCGGAACAATGGGTTTGACGAATTTCATATTGACGGTAGCCGGAGTAGGCGCTGTGGTGATGCTATTGAGGAGCGACGTGAAGCAATCTGTCACCGTCTTAAGGCGTAACGTCAAGCACATCCGCCACTGGCTCGAAGAAGAATCCTCCGCCGCCTCCTCCAAGTTAGTCTTCTCTCTCTCTCTCTCATGATTCCTTTTTGATTTCCCCTTTCACGAAGGTGATTTGATTTCGTAAACTGGTTTAGTCTTCTATTTACCGATTTTTTTCTTCCACTTGTGATATTTTGATCATATGTCAATGATCTGCAGCTGCTAGTTTCAAAGTAATTGGAATTATAGAGAGTTAACCAATTATTTAAGAAAATTGCTTCTCTAATTCTTTTTTGATTGAATTTGTATCCTAGTATCGAACCAAAGATACAATGTTATTTGTGGAGAATTTAAAGATAGTTGAAACGATTTTGTTGTAGTTTCTATTGCGATCATCAGTTGTATTCAAGGATCACTGAGATTTGGTAACTTAGAGAAAACTGAAAAGATTGATTATGTGGTTTGGGTGGGTGGGTATAACTGTGTTTTATTGATCAGTGTTGGTGTTGGTGATAGATTTGTAGCAAAAAGCAAAGCAAGTTTTGTGTGTGTATGACTGATGAGTTTGATGCGGTTTTCAGGGCAGCTGAGTCCATAAAACCAAAGGAAATAGAGACAAAGGTTCCGAAGAAGGACATTCCAAAAGAGAAGGATTAGTGTCCCTCTAAATATACACGAAGGGTCTTTGTTAGAGTCGAATATATGACTTTGGTTTCAACACCATTGTCTTACTTGACTATTTTTAGCTGAGAGTTTTGGTTTTATGTTTAAAGGGTTCTTGTCTCAATCTCACCTCTTAACGTTTAAGCATTCTTGGAAGTGGCATAATAATATAGTAATCTCTATCTTCTTTTGCAATTACCTAGTTTTGAGTTTTCACTACTCACAGGGTATTGTTCTTTTATATCGGAATTTTAATTGAACTGAGCATTATTTGTGAGTTGTGTGACCAAACATTCCAAACCATTTTTTTTTTTTTTTTGTAAACCATTTAAAGGAAAAGAAAATTGCCTCGAAAAGCCCAATTAAGGCCCAATCTGTCAATCGCTTACGATATAATCTCACCAGGATTCTGATTTCCCGGCAACGTTTTCCGATACTCAATTTTTTCTTTCTTCTTTGAACTTCCTTGTTCGAGAACTTGGCGAAGAAGCTCATACATTTGACAATGGCAGTGTCGACGTTTTCGAGCCCCACGGCTGTCTCCGGCATCGCTGAACCACCAGCATCATTCTCCTCCGCCGCAATTGGCTGGAAGCAACCGTACGCCACTTCCTCACGACCTCCAAAATCTTCCACTCTCCTTGTAGTCTTCATCGCTACTTGATTGCTCACCGTGTTTTCGTTTCCGTGACAGGTTGCGTTTTCGGAGGAAGAAGAAGCCTCGAGTAATCTCGTGCGATTATTCTTGCATCGAGGTGGGTTCCCAGTTCTTCACTTATTCTGGTTAAAACAAAATTATGCATGCCCTTTGAATATATCCCACTTGAGATTCGTATTTAAAAGACTAAAATCCGACTCTGGTCAGATAAAGTGTTCTTTCGTTTGAGTGAATGTCGTTGATACAACTTTCTAAATGATTGGTGCCTTACATTTATTTTCAGGTTAGGGATGTCTGCTACCGTCCTCCTGGAACACAATTGAATATCTTGAATGGTGTTAATTTTTCCCTGCGTGAGAGAAGGTAGTCCTTTTTTTGCAAGCATTTTAAGTTCGTTCTATGAAACGTTTTGTTGAGGCATAAAGATGTCTACTAAAGAGTTAAATCCTTTTTGCAGCTTTGGCTTGATTTTTGGCAAGAGTGGGAGTGGTAAAACTACCCTTTTGCAGGTTCGTTGTTTCATTAGCTCTTTATATCATACACAGCTCTCCGGCATTGTTCTTTTGAGTTTTTTTTTTCTAAGTCTTAGCAACTTCTGGGTCTCTTCTGCAGCTTCTTGCTGGGCTAAACAAACCGACATCAGGTTCCATTTGTATCCAAAGATATGGGGATGATGGCCAGCCTAAGGCGGTTCCTGAGTTGCTGCCCACTGAAAAAGTAGGCATTGTTTTCCAGTTTCCAGAGAGGTAATAGTCATTATTATCTTCTTCCTTTTTTCATCTTAACAGGTTTGGTGCTGCTGTTTATGTGACATGAAACTGTTGGTTGTGGCAAGATTCTTTGTTGCAGATAATGTGCTTGATGAAATTACTTTTGGTTGGCCAAGGCAGAAAGGTAGTTTGCAGCTTAAGGAGCAACTGACTTCGAATCTCCACAGAGCATTTAATTGGGTATCCTACTCCTCCTGGTTCGGAAAGTGGTTATATTATGTCCAGCGATCTCTCTTATAGTAGCTTTCATCTTGAAACGTTAGGTTGGATTAGACAGCATCCCACTTGATAAAGATCCTCAGTTACTAAGTGGAGGCTACAAACGTCGACTTGCACTAGCTATTCAATTGGTGAGAACAAAGATTTTTTTCTGTATTCCAAAGTGTGACCTCTTCTAAATAGTCTTCCCTTTTATAGGTGCAAACTCCAGATTTACTGATACTGGATGAGCCCCTCGCTGGTCTTGGTATGATTTTGCATCCTGCGTCTTCTAATTCTTTAGTTTTCCTATCCTGTTGGAGAAACAGTTGCTTGATATCCTTCTCTCCCAGGGTTTTCTGCTTCTTATTCTTTACAGAAGATGTTTTTTTCCTTTAGCGTTCTCTCTGCATATGCTCTGCGTTTCTTTTCTTTTGCATGAAAATCATGAAAGTTTTCTCGTACTATTTCATCATTGATTTTGTTCTGCAAACAGATTGGAAAGCACGTGCAGATGTTGCAAAGCTCTTGAAGCACCTTAAGAAGGAACTGACTTTACTTGTTGTAAGTCATGACCTAAGGTATGGACATTGAATCAGCGCTTTCCCTGCACAAATAGCTGTTCAGAATTTTGCTATACAAGCCTTTCCGGGAATCTTTTTTTTTTCCCATGTATTCATCATGGCCTGTCTCAATTTAAATCTCTCGCAAAAGTCATGTATCCAATATCTCCCTTTAACACTAACGGCTAGTGCATTTTCTTCTCTCACTTTTAGTATGAACCTTTCCGCAGAGAGTTAGCGGCCTTGGTCGACCAGTCATGGAGGATGGAAACAGGGGGTGTTCTTCTTGCAGAACGTCCACCACTTTAGTTCAATGTTCACTATTGCGGAAGGTCCATACCAGGTTTGGCTCGGATGTTATTGATTTTTTCGAGTATTGTTGCAAAAAAGTGATACAGGCTTTTACCCTGGCATAGGTTTTTATTGCATGAAATTTTAGATAGATAGCCGCTCTTCCTTTATGGTGGATTTTCTATGGAAGTTCTTTTGTGTAGGAGATAATGATATGTTATGCCTTATCAGTTGAGAGAGAAATAGTATGTCTCTCATCTGAGATTAAAGCATATAACTGGATTTGAATCTATGCTTGCATTCTCTTAATTATATTACTCCAAACAATGTATGTATATGAGATATCTTGCTGCAATTATAACACCCTGTAACATTTATTATTACATAGAGGGGCGTAATAAGCATTCCCAGTAAGTTTGAACACATTTTCCTTAATTATACCACACAAATTCACACATGCATGAAGTGACATAATACACTCACACTTCTTAGTTTACATATTTCTTCTGATCCCTTTGCTACAGCTCCAACACGAAGTCTGCAAATCAATTATGGATCATTAGCTGGTTGGGCCACAAGCAGAACACTTGTGCATGCCTAAATGTCAGCGTATCAAAAAATTTGTTTTTCGAATAAATATCCTACATATTCGTAGAAGCATATTCTTCCTCTGAGTTAAATGGGATTATGCAAACAATTCTATTAATTGCATATGATGGTGGACTTACAATCTTCGTCTGTCTTGATCCAGTGTTCTCCGTTTTTGGCTGAGCGAGAACTTCTCAGCTCATACTGGATACATCTATTACTTGCCTCATGACAGGGGTTCACCTTCTCGAATGTTAAGTCAATAGAATTTGCTTTGCTGTTTTTTGGATTTGCCACGCTGCTGTATATTTCGGTTTCCATTATGGATTCTTCTGGATGTACTTTCCTATGGAAAACTTGTACCATCTGCACTCCTCACATGAAATTCAAGTTTGTTAGGAGCAAGCTTTTCATTGGAGTATATGATAGCTCCAGAAAATGCTATCAAAGTAAGGGATAAATCATCTGAAGTTTGGTTTATAATTCAAGATGTAGCATGTATCACACAGGCATTTTTTTAGATGATAAGTTTTGAAAAAGCAGAGCTGAAAAAGCCACACCTTTTGGAACTTCTTCTTTGTGGAATCCACTTCAGTTTTACCACTGACAGAGCTCCTTGAGGATGGGTGTATCTTTTTGAGTACCTTCTTCACAAGATGCTTTGCGGACTTGTGAGCTGAACTGGTTTGCTTCTTTTTCTTCCCATATATGTTTTCTGAATTTTCATCTAGCACTTCTGTTATTTGAAACAGCTCGCCAAGTGATGCCCTTTCTTTCTTCCCTGCAATCTTTGTTTCTGGGAATTCGTTTAGAGAGCCAAAAAGATACTCTTGGAGTGGGAACTTCATTGGCTGATTATCTTTTTCATCATCTAGACCCTCAATGGCCTCAATGGTGGATGCAATAGTGTTAGTGTCACTGTTTCTTCCTGATGGTTGGTGGTGTCCTTCTTTAGCTTCAGCCTCAAGGAACTTCTCCAATTCATTGCTTATGAGCTTCAAATCATTCTCTGTCACATCTGCATCATCTATTGCCGGGTCCTCAAATGACATGCCAAATGTTGGCGTTGCTGGTTGTTCATCAAGAAGTGTTTCTCCACCAAGGGTTCCAATTGCAAGAAATCCATCAAAAAAATCACTGTTTCTCTCATCCTTGAAGTTTTCTTCTGTGTATCCCTTGGGTCCTGCGAAGGAGCTTTCCTGGAACAGGTTGACCTGTTTTCTGAATCCAGTATTGTATCTGGAGCCAGCACATGCTGTGGGGTAAACCTCTTGGCTATCAAGGGATGGATGAGCTGAAAGGATGGAATAGCTGTTACCTGAAATAAGTAAGAACGGCCAGTGAGATTTGGAAAAGATGCATTTGTGCAGGAACTAGGGAAAATGTCAAGTTATTGCAGGCATGATATTGACTGGATAATAATCGCTAGGGAGAGATCTGGTTTAGCTGCTATCACTCACAAAATCGAAGCGCAAGACAAAGTTGGTGTCACGCATATTGAGTAGGTGAGCTTTTTATTCAGCTAGCTGACACCCATCACAATGCTTTGCACACAAGTGCAGTCATGATCCTAGTCTTTTATCAGGTCAGCAGTTTAATTTTCTAGAAATGGATGTTAAGAGTAGTGAGATAATTACTCATCCCTGAAATGCTTGCTAAGTTCTATTGCTAGTCTCCTAGAATTCAAACACACTTCCTATTCTTGTTCTACATATTTGACAAGAAAAGATGTTCCAGAGAAGTACAGTCAAATTACCAGTTGAAGCATCTTTCAATGGCTCTTTGCTATTCTCCCGGAACTTATGGTGCATCCAGCCCCAAAACTGCCAGAAAATAAGCTTTGGTTAGTGTTAGCTACAAGATAGTTAATTTTTTTTTTAAGATATAGACCATACCTTCATTTTTGTGATTCAGTTGCTACACAAGACTAGAGGAGAAAGTGACTTTTATAGAGAACAATGATTGGTAAAGTCTTAATGTGGCAGTGAATTGGTTGCAACTGTATCTCAAGTCTTTTAGGTTGATGACAGTGGAGACCAACACCAAGAAAGCTACAAAATTTTGGTTGGCCATTCTCTTTCAAGATCACATCAAGAACAAGTTGGAGGGCCATTACGTACATGAGCCCCTACTGTTGTGATTACATGACGCGCAAATTCATTGATGGAGTAGCTATCCGTAATTACAATCATCAATCATCTCAGGTATTACTACAAGATAGTTAATTTGAGTTTCTATATTATAAAACTGTAGATTTTATGTGACGTTCATGAGCCACTAATATTACATTTACAAGTCATTTGCAAATAAAGCATACATAAATAGTGGCTGCAAAATCAATTTTTGCTATTGCTTTGTGTTGTGTAGACCTTGATTTTTAGACATTCTTTCCTGGAAATTGCTATGAAATGTTCCATCCGTAATTTGTACACTAGAAGGGAGTCTTCATTCTGTTTGAAATCTAATTCCATAGGTACAAACTCTTTCTGTGTTTGATTATAGTAACAATGTAAACTGCTTTTTACACTGATGCTGCTTTGCCTAGAGATTAGTTCAATTTTATTTGAAACAACGCTGGCTCCTTGCTCACTTAGAGTGATTGAGGCTGCATTATGTTCTTAGAGTGATTGAGGCTGCATTATGTTCTTAGAGTGATTGAGGCTGCATTATGTTCTTAGAGTGATTGAGGCTGCATTATGTTCTTAAGAGTGATTGAGGCTGCATTATGTTGTAATAATGTTCTTATATAAAGAGTACTGGTCTGTTGATCTGGCTGTCTCCGACAAAAAAGAAAATGTATATAGATTGATGACCATCCTGCAGAAAAGTAAAGAAAGAGTACTTTTTCCAGGAAGCATATGGGAGCTCCGTGACAAAACAACGAAGACTTTGGGGCTAGTTGATTCAGACAAGTGAAGCTGTCCACGACATCAGGTACTGTTGTTTGCTTCAGTGTTTTTAATATTACAAGCTCGTAATGCTATGGGTTTGTTTTCCTTTATTAATTATCCTACAGTCATTTCCTTAGCGGTAGAAGCGCATAGTTATGTTTTAGTAGATCAAGTAGGAACGCATAGTTATGTTTTAGTAGATCAAGTAGGAACTTGTTAGAGGTAAGGATTGGATGGTGAATCTTGAACCTAGGCGTCTATGTGAAACACCATAGAGAATGCAGATTAGATGAGTTTGAACAGGTATGAAAAGATAATGATAAAGCGAATGGGTTAATTTGGGATTACAGGGAAGCATCTTTTGGGATGAAAGAAAGGAACAAGGGACAAAGGAACAAACAGAAGTAGGTAGTATTGTTGGTATGGGACCAAGAGGGGAAGCAGTACACTTTTGTGCCTGATTTAAACAAACTTACAAATGCTAAATTTTGCAATCTGGAGTCACTTCCATTGTTCCCACTCCATTATCTTCTATTTTTTCTTAAGAATGTGATAGACTTATGTCAAATTCACGTGGACACTCGATAAGTCGACATATCTTCCTTTCCTGTTCCTCAATCATATCTTCTTTTGGTATATTTTCCAACATTTTCACTTTCCTTATTGTATCTCCAGTCGACATTTTTCCCAACTAGATGATCTATTCTCTCTTTTTTCTTAAAACAAATTTTAATTACTGAAACCATAATATGTAATGATTTCTTTTTTCGTCTTCTTCTTTTAGTGGGTCACTCCAATAGTCCCCAGCTGCAAGATTACCAAAAAGTGATTTCCTCTCATCGTTTTAACTGATCTTGACCGAGCCAAAATAACAAATTCCGAATCAACAAATAAATTAAACTTCAATTTCATTAGAAAGTTTTTGCAAATTAAAATGTTTTACAAAAAAAAAAATAAAAAGCAAAATTGTATCTAAGCGAGCCTAAAAATATCGGTTTCCTTTTGCTTTTTATAGTTTTTATATGGAAAAAAGTGGCGGTGGTTGTCATGTATGTCTTGTTGTTAAGTTGTCATTTTCCTCCAGGAAACTTCTCAATTCTCATGTAAATAATTGAACGACATTTATTTACTGGTGTTTTTGCAAGATATTTTGATGGGCCAAAAATGGGTAAGTAATAAAGAGTAAGCCTGGATTAATCTCGTATGCAAAGTCATGATTTTTTGGGTCACTAAAAATCACTTTTTTGAACTGGGCCAGTATGCGTTTGACTTGTAACTCATGGACTGATTAACCAAACTTGTCAGCGACATGAAAATGTTGACGTCAGCTTCTCGGCGCGGCGGGACCTCAATTAACCGGACCATGCGACCTGCGGCGGAGCTTGCGGTGAGGATTGGCCGTGAGCTTCTAAAAGTTTCCGGAAGCTCTCGATCAGCTCGGATATGGAGTCCATCGGTTGAACAGAGCCTTCACGGTCTCGGTTTTCGTCACTCAATAAGCCCTTCGCTTGTGGCTCGAGTCATTGACCCGTTTCTCCTGAACCACCATTCCCTCGCTCTCGGTTTCTTCAATTGGGCTGCTCAACAACCAGGTTACTCTCACGACTCCGTCTCTTACCATTCTATCTTCAAGTCTCTTTCGCTTTCTCGTCAGTTCTCCGCCATGGATGCCCTCTTCAAGCAGGTCAAATCGAACAAAATCCTTCTCGATTCTTCCGTGTATCGCTCCCTCATTGATGCGCTAGTGTTGGGTAGGAAATCTCAGAGTGCGTTTTGGGTTTTAGAAGAAGCTCTTTCGACGGGTAGGGAGATTCATCCCGATGTTTGCAATCGTCTTTTAGCTGCTTTAACTTCCGATAGGTGTTTTGATTATGCACAGAAACTGTTTGTCAAAATGCGCCAAAGAGGTGTTTCTTTGAATACTCTTGGCTTCGGCGTGTATATAGGAAGTTTTTGTACAAGTTCTGAAACGGATCAGCTCTTGAGATTGGTGGATGAGGTTAAAAAGGCTAACTCGAACATCAATGGTTCCATTATTGCTCTGTTGATTCTCCATGGTCTTTGTAAGTCTTCACGAGAAATGGATGCTTTTTATATTTTGGAAGAGCTGAGAAACATAGATTGCAAACCGGATTTTATGGCTTATAGAATCATAGCTGAAGCATTTGTAGTTACTGGGAATTTGTATGAGAGACAGGTTGTTCTAAAGAAGAAGAGAAAGCTCGGAGTAGCACCTAGGAGCAGCGATTACCGAGCTTTCATACTGGATTTGATTTCCGCTAAAAGATTAATGGAGGCTAAGGAAGTAGCTGAGGTGATTGTGAGTGGAAATTTCCCCATGGATAATGATATCTTAGACGCGTTAATTGGATCGGTCTCTGCAATTGATCCAGATTCTGCTGTTGAATTCTTAGTTTACATGGTCAGCACAGGGAAATTGCCTGCTATTCGGACTCTGAGCAAATTGAGTAAGAATCTCTGCAGGCACGACAAGAGCGACCATCTGATAAAGGCTTATGAGCTTTTGTCAAGCAAAGGTTATTTCTCAGATCTTGAGAGTTACAGTCTGATGATATCGTTCTTGTGCAAGGCGGGGAGAGTCAGAGAAGGTTACACTGCTCTGCACGAAATGAAGAAGAAAGGGCTTGATCCAGACGTGTCACTCTATAACGCTCTCATTGATGCTTGCTGCAGAGCGGAAATGATCCGTCCAGCAAAGAAACTGTGGGATGAGATGTTTGTGGAGGGCTGCAAAATGAATCTGACGACATATAATGTACTTATTAGGAAATTATCAGAAGAAGGCGAGGCAGAGGAGTCTTTGAGGCTGTTTCAGAAGATGCTTGAGAAAGGGATAGAACCAGATGAAACAATCTATATGTCACTCATTGAAGGCTTATGCAAGGAGACAAAACTTGAAGCTGCTTTGGAAGTCTTCATAATGTGCATGGAGAGGGATAATAAAACAGTTGCAAGAAGACTATTAAGCGCGTTTGTATTAAATCTATGCAGCAACGGTGAGAGAACAAATATGTCTTCTAGTCTTTTTTAATTGCCCTAAGTCAAGTTTCTGGCTGATTTATTTGGTGTATGTGTGTAGGCCATTTTAGTGAGGCATCGCAGCTGCTGCGCAAGCAAGATCACTTAAAACACACAAGTGCACATGTTGTGTTGCTGAAATGTGTGGCAGATGCGAAAGAGGTTGAGATTGGAATCAGACATATGAAATGGATCAAAGAGGTATCGCCATCTCTTGTTCACACAATATCTTCTGACCTGTTGGCGTCTTTCTGTTCATCATCTGATCCTGATTCCATTCTTCCATTTATTCGAGCAATTGAGCACACATAATTACACCGATAGGCTATTAGATTCCCCAAATTGTATTTCCCTTTATTCTGTGTAGATTCCTATACTGCTGTAATCGAGATCTCTGGGTGACTTATATGTTACAAGTCGTTTATTGTCTACGTAAGAATTATTCTAATGAATATAATTTATCTCAAGGTATATATGCCATTTAGTTCCTTCTTTTTCTCATCATGATGAGCCTTTTAATGTTTTAATGGAAGTAAAATGTTCAAAAACCTTCCAAACTCAGAAAATGTGACCTTGTAGTTTTCTTAATTTGAGAAGAACAAAAAACAAATAGAGGGTGACAAGGGAATTGTATGAATGATTGGAGAAGTAGTGTTCTCTAAAAAAAAAAAAAAAAAAAAAAGTAGTGTTCTCTATTATTTATTACTTAAAGCAAAATTGAATTAGCAAAGAATTGATAGCTGTGTAAAATCACTGACGTTGTTGAATCAGCATGTACTGGCTCTTCTTGACGCAATGGTCGGGTCAAAATCACGGATTATTGTTGGTGGGTGTCCACGTAATCTGGAGTGGGGACCCTCATGAGGTGATTATTTACCCCACAAGTTAACAGTTATAACGGTTAAGAATTTAGGTCATGAAAAAAACCCTCCTTGTTCTTGTCTTAATTTGACCATTAAATTTTATTTTTGTTAAACATGACCATTAAATTTTGTGAAGCAACGTACTGTCAAAGATTGTAAAATTAGAGATAAGGAAGCTAACAAGAGACATATTGATTAGTAAACATTTATATATTAGTGTGATTAAGATAGACAAAAGAGCTAAGCTTAAAACAAACGCACAACTCTTCTCTCTCACTGTCCCTAATTCAACACTATAATTAACCTAATCTTTTTTTGTCCTTAGAAGTCAAAGAAAGTAAAGAAAAACGAAAGGTTGGTTTGGAGGATGAGATCATCAATCAGAGCCAAAGAGCGCCAGCATCTTTGAGAAGAGGGACGAGTGAGCCATTGATATGTGAAGCCATCACTCTCTCCATTGCTCCTACCATCTTTCCTCCGATGAACACCACCGGAAGTGCCCCCGGAGAAGTAGCGCCACCGCTGGAACAGCCCAGGAGACGGAGGAGAGCTCGGTGAATTTCAACGCCGTAAGGGAGGAGGTCGAGCTCGTGGACGGCGGGGCTGACCCCCATTCCACGGAAGAGACGCTTGATGGCGTGGCACATGCAGCACGTGCTTACGCTGAATATAACCACCGCATTCTCTGCCGCCATCGACTCTATCTTCGCCAGTGTCTCCGATGGAAACACATTCATGTTGTTCATCACCTTGCTATTGTTGTTGTAGGACAACGACCCTCGAGTTTCTGTTTTGTATTGCATTTTTTTTTTTGTATTTTTAGAGAAAGAGAAAGAGAAGAAGCTACAGAGAGCGAGAGAATGTGGGTGTGAGTTGGTTGGGGGAGAGTGATAGAGGCATGCAGAGTATTTATACAAGGTGGAGTTCTAAATTTAACTGGTAGCTAGGTTTTTATTTTATTTTAAATGGCATATATATATAGAGAGGATATGCCATATAATGATAACAAAGTGATTGATGTGATGTGATAGTCATGGTTGTTAGCTTTTTTATGATAGGATATTATTTTTAAGAGATATTTAAGGATATTTATTATTTCTTCAAGATTTTACAACAATATAAAAGTAGAATATATATTTTTCAGTTAAATAGGTTAGTAGAATAAGGGAATTGTTGGTAATGGATATCTCTATCCTTCTTGTCGGCTTTTTCTGTAATATCATCTTACACAGTTACACTAGCTAGCTACTTTTGTCTGCGAAATTGGTCCAATATAATCAAATACAAATGGTCCAATATGCATATATGTAAATATGAATGGTCCAATATATAATATTATGGAGACGCGCCGAATAATAAATTTGATGCTGCCAACATTATGTGAGCAAGTCGTAACGCAGAGATGAGGTCGAATGTTTGGATATATGGCCGGTGGTTTTCCATTATATTCCGTATTCACTTTATGCTCAAATCCTCTAATTAATCTCTATAAACAAGCTACATATAAATACCATTATCAAGATGATCACAAAAAGGAGTGGAATCTTTTGTTTGGATTTGTAATCCAATTAGCATCTCACAAATGTAGCGCTAAACATAAATACAAGTTGGCATATTTTATGGTAATCAAGATCGAATTTCGTGACCATTTTATTATTCTTAGCCCATATAAAATTGGCTAGTTAATGTTTTATAAAAAGAAATAAAGGACTCATCAATATTCTTGAGAATGAACTTTTAAAAGAGATATAGTTGCCACCAGAGTTAAGTTGCTTACCATCAGAATGTCAGTGTTCTTGATGTATGGAAATTACAAGTTGGCATGTGTTCTTGCTAGCTACTTAGCTAGCATCTTTATCTTTATGTATATATATGATTATTAAACGTTGTGAATTCCGTTAGATAAAAATGTATAATTCATATAGTTTAGATTTGTAGATAAGTTTTACCAAAAGGCTGAAAAAAAAAGTTGAATTTTACAAAGTTGGTCACATGCTTTTTTGGCTTTCATGCATGCTTCTGTCTTCCTTTTTTATCTGCAAATTTGCCTTCTTGTTTCTCATGTTTGACCAACCCCTCCCAAAAAAAAAAAAAAAAAACACTAAAATAAAAGCATTTATCGTTGTCAGCACAAACGATTTTTTATGAAATTTGTAGGTACCATATCTGCAATATAGAGTCACCCTCTCATCGATTATATATGAATAAAACTCCTAAATTATTTATTTTCTCCCCTAAATTATTCATATTCTACATCTATTTGTTTAAATAAAAAAGAAAAGAAAGGAGGCTTAAGATATTGGCCTATTGGGTATAGTTGAAGTGAGTCCGAAGAGAAGAGTTATATGTCCCTTCATTGGTTTAAGATTTGGTGTATAAACTAAAGCTGATTTATATGATTTGGACTAAATCTTTGTCCTTAAGATAATTAAAAAATAACAATCTTTGAGGGATTGCGTTTGTCGGACCACTTTATCTATATATACATTTTTGGATGACTTTTAGCAAATAAATCCTGGAGTTGGAATGTATTTACGGATGAATGCCATTGGCATTAATTATTTAAATTTGAAAAATATTAATTAAAGATATTACCAACACGATTTCGAGAATCATAAATTCATATCTTCCTTAATTTTATGAGTCATTAATGTGATAATCTTTAGGAAATATTTCTCTCTAAAAAAAAAAATCCACATTAATAAAGGCATTAAAATCGACGCTAACAATTAAAATATTTAGATATTCAATTATTTTAAGATTCTTATATCTTATTTGATATTTTTTTTTAATATCTCATTCTTTAATTACTGCGTTTAGAATTTATTGGTTGTTACCTGGTGAAATTTATTGGTTGTTACTTAATAAGTAACTAGATCATGACCCGCACGTACGTGCGGGGTTTCATATTTTAAAAAATTCCTAACAAATTTTAATTCAGTATAGATTATTTTGTTGTTTTTAACTTTTTATGATATATATTTTAGTTTATTAGATCTGGATCCACATACGTGTAGAGATATTTTTATATAAATCGTTATATAGATTTTAAAAATATAAAATATTTTGTTGTGTTAGTGAACTTCGTAATAGTATAAATATTATAAAGTTAGAGTAATGAACAAAATTCAGTTGCGTTAATGCATAATTATATTTTAAGATCCAGATTAATTTAGTTGCAAAAGTTAAATGGTGTTACATTTTTATTTTCTTAACTAATCTAAACAGTCCTAACAGTTTGATTACATATGTTAAATAGGATATGAATTTGATTTTAGTTTGGGTTATTTCATGTATATTAGCTAGGCGTAACTATTTTGGAACATGAAAATATACCGTCTGGTATATGTCATAAATTCTTTGTCCCATAACTTGTCACGTATACGTAAAATAAAAATATTATGGTCCAATATCTGTCATAAATAGAGTATGTGTAACTGAAAACGTATGTGTGTAAACAAATTTATTTTATATAGTGCTCATAACCCGAACTCATGCCAGTTGGGTATTTAGTTTGATTTTTAATATATGTTTCCCTCCCATCTCGTCTCGTAATTTATATTTTCATTTTATTCCATTAAAATCATATTTCAAATTCTTGTTTGCTTACCTTTAAATACCATACAATATTACAATATATATTGTGAATTTTGCGGATTAATATGTATGCTGTTAAAGTTATATTTTAACAAATTTATTAATGATTCTAGTTAAATTTTGCATATTTTTCTTTTCATTATTTAATCATAATTAATTCGATTTTTGGGACTAAAATTAAAACTTGAGATACATCTATAAAAAGGATATGTTATTGCTGCATAATTTGTTTTGAATGCAAAATATATAATGAGTTCACATTATTTTGAAAACTGTGTGCAATATATTATGGATCCAGTTGAGAAGAAAAAATAAACACAAAATATTTCGAAATTAAGATGTACAATCTTTTGTTTACATATTTCCAAAACCTTCTCTAAACGAATGCCATAATGATAATTACTTTAAATTTATCATTATTTGAATTTATTTCATAGTAAATATAAATATTTGTTAATATCTAATATCGTTTTCTTAGAAATTTTGAAATAAAATTTTGTTTATATTTCAAACTTTGTGAAAATATTATAACAAAACTGAGTCTTAAATATTTGTATTTAATATTTTTACGAAATTTCAAATTCAATCTTAAAATCCTCCATTGATAAAACTTTTTAAACGATAGTGTTTTTAATTTTGAATTATAATTTTATTATTTTTCTTTTTATTTTTGATATGGAACAGTTTATTAGGATTGGTTTAGATAAAATTTTAGTTGGATATCAAATCTTAGTTTTTTAATTCTCATTGGTTAACAACTTTTTAGAAAAAAAAATAAATTTTCGTCCATAATTAATATGAGAGAGAAAGTGAGTTTAATTTTTTGGAAACTAATAATTACTTTAAAGAATTTTACTATTTTTTTATTTAAATATATTATTTTGTGATTATTATTGTATCTTTAATGAATTTATTTAAAAACAAAAATTAATGGCATTTTTGTAATACTTTACACTTTATAAGGTTATTTATGTTTGAGTGCTTCCTAATTAATAGTATAGATTATGGTGCGTTTATTTTAGTTAATATCTAATTTAAAGGATTTGTTTTCTTTTATTATTAATAAACGAATAACATGTATAGAAATAAAAGATTTTTCTTGCGACTCCATAATAAAAATATTAAACTCTTATTTTCTACATTTCTTACACATAATATCCTCTTATTCAATAACAAAAAATATATATTGCATATTTTTAAAAATATTTATAATATTTAAAATTATATAAAAAGTTTGTAATATTAATATTATTTCAACTCTATACAAATTTAATATATATGTATATATATCTTATGGGAACCATTTCACGGGACTGGTAATATGATGGGACGGGTAATATGATGGGACGGGTTTGGGTTGATATTTATAAAAGATAGTATACCACGGGTGAAATCCTAAAATTAACAATCAAAATAATCTATCAAACAAATTATATTTTGATTTTTTTAAGAAAATATAGCTCCGCGGTGTACCGCGGGTTAAAATCTAGGTGTATGTATTATTATATATATAAAAATGGAAGGCCGTTACAGAAGCCTTACGTAACAGATATCATCAGTTGTGTATTTCTCGTTGACCGGCTGGTCGGTCGGATATGACCCTGGTGAAGTAACTGTTGCTTATTCTTTTCAGGAAGGGTATTTTCGGTATCATCTAAAGTGTTTCTTTGCTTTCTAAGCCTGCACCTTCGGTGTCCACTTTCCTCTTATACTGAATTCAATTTACTTTTATTGGTTGAAATGTATTTTGTTACAAACTATTATTGCAAGAAAAAGGTTATGACAATAGGCTGATCCGCTGATGTCAAAATTAAGAAACTAGCTTATATAGTTTTTAGAAAATTAACAAAATAGTATAATTTTTAACCATACTAAAATTATGTTATTGTAAAAGAACTAACCTATGTTTATTTCTTTAATTTTAAAAGAACTAACCTATGTTTTATAGGCTTTGGCTCAGATTATGTTATTGTATCACAACAACAACAACAACAGAAACAACAACAATAAGAACAAGAATGTGAAGTTGTTCCAAGTCTTGACACATTCTTAGCATTAAACTACGCACATAAGCAGACTTGAAGGAGAGAAATGGCTCTCTGCTGCACTAAGAATCGGTCTCAAAGAATGCGGAGTGGAGAGCCCTCACACATTGCTCTGCCTCTTCATCATTCACTATCAATGAGATGTTTACCTGACAAACACACACACACACACACACACATCTCCAGTCATTATAACATAAGAATACCATATTTCATTCACTATAATGTAGCAGCAGACAGATTTTAACCTTAGATGCACCCTGCGAGATCATCTGCACATTCACTCCATTGCTTCTAAGGACTTGGAACACCTGTTTTGTCATTCATTCCATTCCCATTAACTTTAAAACTTCAAAATTCAAAATTCAAAAGAGAACACAAGACGTTGCTCTCACTCACCTTCTCTAATATGAGTGAGGATTTCTGAACATTTCCTATGAGAGAGATGATTGATCTGCGCTGCAGCAGTTTCACAACAGCAATCTTTTCTAGCTCTTCCACCAAATTATCCAGTTCCTGTTCACACCAATCACTTATAACCAATACTACATATGACCCTCACAAAAGAAACAATATATCAAAGTAAAAAGAGTCTTACATTTACCCGCTGAATTAACTCTCTACCCCAGAGCTTTGCTGGATCCAATGTCAATGATATACTAACTTCACTTGTTGCCACAACATCGACCGATATGCCTAAATCTTCAAATGTGGTAAACACCTGCACATGCATGCTTGCAGTGAGATATTAAACAAAGTCGAATAAAGATATCATTATCCAATTACATTACCTTGGCAAGGAAACCATACTGGCCAAGCATACGGGTGCTTGCTATGTCCAACATGGTCACATTACGTTTCAGAACAATGCTTGTCAGCACGGCCTGCAAGAAATTAAAGGAGGGAGAAGGGGTCATTGATATTTTGATATAACAAGTGTAAAAACACATTTGTTTCACGAACCTTACTCATGTCTCTTGATCTCGTGATGACAGTTCCTGGAGCAGTGGGGTTGTACGAGTTCTTCACCCTTACAGGAATGTCGCCATCTCTTGCTGGCCTCATAGACAGTGGATGCAGCACCTGCAATGGAAGAGGAATATGCTCAGCCATCAGAGAGAGAAGAACTCATTAGCCTAGATAACACACGAGATTACCTGGGCACCAAAGTAAGCAAGCTCAGCTGCCTCATCGAACGTTAAGTATGGAACAGATTGAGCTCCAGGATATATGTTAGGATCACAAGTCAAAACTCCATCCACATCTTTCCAAACCTACACCAGATTAAGATAAAAGAAATCATTGCTTAACAAAATTTAATCTACATGATGCAATCTTGGCTAAAGCCATCAAATACCTGAATTTCCCGCAGTCCTAACGCTTTCCCAATCGTTGTAGCCGTCAAATCACTACCACCCCTACCCAGCGTTGTTATAGCACAAGACCTCCATCCCTGCAGAAACACATGCATTCGAGATTGAAGTTTTGTTTTCAAAATTGACACAATAAGCAAAACAACTTTTGCGCAAAACCCATTCCAATATATAGAATAGATGGGAACCAGAGTTGTGGACTACATATATCTTGATCCACGAGAATAACATAAAAGGTCAGAAAAATATAAACCTTTCCGAGGAAGCCAGTAACAACAGGG